CAGTACCATACTTCCCCCGTGTAACCCTAAACTTTTCATACGAAACATTTTGCTCTATCCCTACTAGTTTTCGAGATATTTGACTGGATCACTTCAGATGGTCCACCCTGTATATGAAGAGTTCTAACGTTCTAACTAAATAAAAAAATTTTTTATTTGTTAGCATGTGTATAGATTGGAATTTATGTATTTATAAAACAATATAAAAAACAAATATATAGAAGACTAATGAGAGTCAGCGACGATAAAAAAATAGCGCAAAAATTATAGTGAACAATCAATACTCATAAAATGGATTGATGTTTTCTTTATTAGAACGTTTCGACTCTCTTTGGAGTCCTCTTCAGCAAAAATGATACAATTCCAATTAGCTCACATGTCCCCAGTGATTAAGTGATTCTCAAATTGACAAGAATACAGCGTTGATGATCTGGCATTTATAGAAAAAGTCACATTAGACAGATAAATGAGTAAAATGAATTTGAATGACTTACCATCACATGGAAAAAAAAGATTTGCTAAAACTAAAAACTTCATTGATTTAGCAAATCTATAGCTGTAATATAGGCACAGTTTTCTATGTTAAAGTAGCAAATTTGTGTAGCTGAATTAAATTAAAGATTGTAACTAATCATATATTTGTTCTAATAGCATAGGAAATTTGTTAATACAGCAAAGATAACTTTCTGAAAAAATGAATCTATTATAAAGGTCAACATTTGTAACAAAACATGCTAACGAAGATAGCGTATACTTTTGCTGTTATAATGAAGAAACTTATTACATTAGCAATCTTCATTGTAGCAAAGAATTAGTTGCTCTAACAATTCAAGTTAATTAAGACAACAAATTCTGTTAAATACATGGTTTTTATTTAATATAATAAAAAAAATGCAATTAATAAATAAAAAAAATTAATAATAAAAATTAATTAATAATAAATTTAATTGTAATATACCTACTATTTAAGATTTAATTCCTTGCAAGGAACATGAAAAGAATCGTGAAGCTTTGTTGAACATATTAAATCCTAAATAGTAGGTATATTACAATTTTTTTTTTTTTTTAAAGATCACGCATTGTATCATTCTTCTGAGAAGGACTTCAAAGAGAGTCGAAACATTCTAATATAAAGAAAATACCAATCCATTTTATGAGTATTGATTGTTCACTATAATTTTTGCGCTATTTATCGTCGCCGACCCTCATTAGCCTTCTATGGCCGGTATTCATAGTCGATTCTTATTTTAAGACCGTCTTAAGTAATGTCTTAAGTCGCTAATGCGGCCCTCTGATTGGTTCATGACATCTTAAGACTGTACTTAAGTCGGTCTTAAATATAAGATCTGACTATGAATACCGGCCCATATCTTTTGTTTTTTATATTGTTTATGGCTGTTCTACAATGTGCTTTTTGTTTCCTGTTCCTTGCTGTTTGTCTCTGCTTGTTTCTTGCCTTTTTGATCAAGAAGGCAAGAGACAAACAGCAAGAAACAGGAAACAAAAAGATATATATATATTATTGTATTTTTTAAATTTCATTATCGTAAATTCTTTATTTCACATCTAGTTTTCATTAGTTTTCCAATTTGCCTTTCCATTAAAACGCTTTTTATAAGAATTTTGTCTTTGTATAACAGTAATACCGAACGTTATGTTGCATTCTACAGAATTTTTTTCAGCGAAAATGTTACTAAATGAACAGTATGCGATGACTGGCAACTGGCACGCTCTATTTGTTTCGAACGTTATTTTAAATAAACGGCCACTATTCGTTAATTATTATACGAGAGGTTGAAATGAAGGTTACAAAATACGCACCGACCACTTAAAACAAACTTATCTACTATCATTCTAATGGTATTCGGAAGTCCTCAAGGACATCAGATATGCCTGCAAAGTCATATTTTTCTGAATATATTTTTTAGTTTTGAATTTCTGTCGGAATATTCTCGACGTTCCAATTTTTTATTCTGCTATTTTGCCAGAAGCTTTCACAGCACTGTGTTTTATGACTTCTCTGAAGTAATTATAATTAACTTTCTCGTTTCCCATGTCCCATGTATGTATGTAACGAATAAATTTTTTTTATACTTCATTTCACACGTTATTTCTGCTAGAAGCAAAATTGTGAAGAAAAAGTAAAAAAAAATTAAAGAAGAAATCGAGACAATAATGAAAAAGCTGAATGGTTAGAGAAGAAATTAAAAGAAATATCTCATTAGAGAAAAAATCCAGAAATCTCTCATTAGATATCCTTTTAATTAAAAAAATGTTATCGAAAAAAAATTATATCCTGGATATATTTTTATTTATAATATGATATGTATAATTTATGACGGTTCTTTGTTCGAGAAGATTTTAGAAAATTTAATCAAAGAATCAATAAATAAATGTAAAAATATTCATTGATTTTTATTATCAAGATTTACACTGGCTCGGATTACACTAACTCGAAGAATTCTTACCGTACTGACGTTTGCGTAGGGGTTGCATTTCTACGCACTTTAGGTTTTTGTGATTCGAAATCAACCATTTTGATCTCTCTCAAATATCTTGCATCCGAGGAAAAAGTAGTAACAGCAGGTTGCGTTTGTCTTCCGAGAAATTAGTTTCATTCAAGTACAACCGCGCGTCCTCGAATTACTCGGCTTACTTTCACATTAATAGTCACAACGAATAGAATGGAAATCTGCCA